ATTATTGTACTGCTGGGTTCAGGATGTTGTTATCTGCTGGGAAAGAACTCAAAAAGAAATATACTGTTTTCAAATTATTATGTATAAGACAATTTTACATTTGCATGGATACTGTGAATGTGAATGTCATTAAAAAAATAAACAAAAAAATCGAACAAATAGGTGAATAGCTCTTATTCATTTCCTACTATGTACAATATACTTACATAATAATAGAATGGTGAAAGGTACATAAGTGGGTGGAAATAAAATTAAGGATTAGTTTCAAGAAAAATTTAAATTGATAAAACTAACATTGAAATAGGTGCAGAATTGATTTTTGAATTGTATTAAAATAATAAAAATAAATAATGCAATACGTAGTTCAGTGTTCTTGACACTCGTAACAGTATAGCATTCCAATAACCAGTGGGGTTACTCTTAAAATAAATTCCAATATTGAAATTGAGACGTTTTGCACTCTCGAATTGCAATACTAGCGACGAAATGGTTCTATACTGTTCCAATAGATGCATATTAGTGTAACTTGTCAATGCAAACTATTGTAAACCGATCCCAATTATAACCTAATCCCTAACTGTTGCTTCATGAATGCAGTATAAAATTGTCATTGGCAATAGATTGGATTGATATTGAATTCGAGTGTTAATTTTATATAACATGTAACAGTTAGTGAAACGGAATTTTCCGGACAGATTAAAAGACGAAGTTGATCATTTACTATTCTATTGATTGAACTACAGAAAGCTTATTAGTATAAAATTCAATTCACAAGATATTTCAAATGAAAAGCAAATCTCGTACAAACGCAATAAAGTGCAATCTAGCATATGTTTAAAATGCTGACACCACATATCGACACATAATCGATGTTTCTTAATTGATGATTACTCACATTTTCTATACGAAGTGTAATTTGCAAAAATAGCTAATCTTAGTAATATAATATTTGTTCTCCTTTAACCAAAGGTTATCTATAAGAGATTGCTCTAGCGATAAGACCGTCTTTTGTACCTTTATGTATATATTTTAAACTGTACTTTATGATACTGTATTTCACTTAAATTGTTTAATTATCATTGTATATTTTATATGTTTCTGGTGCAATAAAGAGTTAAATAAAAATAAAAAATAAAATTGTTACTAGACGATGTCAGTGCATGTGAGATTAATTTAATATGAGAAGTTTTAATAAGAATAATAGTAACCAAAACAATATTTTTTTTAGGATTTTTGTCAGTCTGTATATTCCTGTATTATACAAAATCTGAAACTAAATTATATGGCTTTATTCCTGAAAGTCTAACTTAAAAAAACTGATATGTTTTATCTTGATATGTTATGTAGATCTATTTGATTGATTTTTTCTTCTAAACTCCACGGGCACCAAGTAACGGGCAAAAGACTAGTCTTTTATAGAAGGATAGAAACTGATTGACGCATCAATTCATTGTTCACATTACTGGATCCAATGATAATAATAATATTTCTTTTTTATAGATTACTAAGATCCATTTTTATTAGTAAGAATTGGCTTAAACTATGTTAGTAGAAAAAAAATACAAAAATCATTTTATGGCCCCTATAATAATTATGACCCAGAATAAGAAGATCGGGCTATCGTATTTATTACACAATGCCCACAGAATGCTGTTACTGCTGCCACCCAGTCGGTATAAAAGAGATGCGATCCGTTTACGTCTGATGGCATAAAAGTCATCTGTCGATGCCGCTGCAAATATTGTGGATGCACTACAGAAACGTGGCAACCGTAACAACACCCTGAAAACATTATTGTATTGAACACGCAGAGCGCTGTATGCCCGCCGTGTGTAGTCAAACCACAGGCTGCTCGTGAAAAAGATTGGTAATATGCCAAATATTTGGACTGTTAAAATTTTTGATAGAAGCTCCTTGGGTGATACGCCAATTGAAGCATTTAATATAAAAGGGTATGTTTGTTTAAAACTAATATACACCAGTAGGAATTTAGGCATATATTAAACAAATACAGAGAAACTGTACTAAAATCATCTGCTTGGGTACTTCTATCTCATTTGTGTTTCAGCCGTGAATCAGTTACGTCTGCATGTCTGTGTTTCAGTCTGTAAGGCTGTGAAGCGTAGCACCTTATTCTTCAGGAATGGTAACGCATGAAGGGTATCATAGGCGACACAGTATATTCTGTCATGTATATGGTACTGTTCATGTCTTTAGGCGGCAGTAATCGCTTTTCATCAGGAGATCGTCAGCTTTTTTGCCACTCAAAGTTGTATAAAAAACATAGGCAGAATTAGCCCAAACAGAAATGTCTTTCTAACTGTCGCAAATTTAAATATATATGTTATTTATGTTAAGAAATGACTCTAAATTGACTGTGTATCGCTTTTAATTATTGTTTTGTACTTAATTTCATTTATTTTTTTATCTATTGCTTATGAATTTTATTGTACTTACTATGACATTCAAATATAAAATATTGTTTAAGAATAAATAAAACAAAGAAATAGTCTTTTTTGCTACCAAAATCCAAATTTTGAGCGATGTTAAAATAACAAGTATATTGTTGCATGATTAACGATTTATAATTCGCTATCACAGTTATTTTTATATAATCAATTAGAAACATTAAAAATGTATAAATTCTTTTTGAAAATTTACAGATAAATGTGACGTTGCCACGCTTCAAGCATAAATTATGTATTAAGGCTCTTAAACAAAAAAAAAATGGATAGAATAAAAAAGTTTATTGGAAAGGGTCATAATTCTACTGTGTATCTTGACAAAGAGAAACCTTATACCTACAGAAATAGGCAATCATCCCTATTATAAAATAAACATTGATATTTCGCATACACTAGTTGCGTTATAAGCAAACCTTATAAGTTCTGGCTACGGGAATTGTTATTGTGAGCGCAGAAATGATTTGTTGTTAATTTTTTCTTAGTTTGCAACATTAACTATAAACCACAATTCATCTTTAGAATAAGTAAAAATAAGAAAATAATAAATTCATGTATAAATTTAAATTAATGATGGCATCGAAATTACTGTTTAATTTATAATTGGACACTTGGTACTTTATTTTTCTTCAATAAATAATTCAATTGAAATTGTGATATTTATTTAACGTTAACCATTCACTACTAGACATTATCCTTCCCCATAAGGGAAAATTTGTCAGTAGTTGCCACGCTTGGCAGGCGGGTTGGCAGCCGCAGTTACGCTTTTAGAAATGTTTTAAGAGGGACGCTGCTGCCTATCCCTCGCCCTCCCTTAGTCGCCTCTTACGACACTCACGGGAAACGAAGGGTTGGCCCATTCAATTCTGGGGCACCAACGGCGAATTATGATCTTATACTATATTAATTTCGTTAAGAAGAAAAATATTCCTATACTAATTTTATAAAGAAGAAAGATTTGATTATTTATTTGTAATGGATAAACTCAAAAACTAAACAAACTATTTATTAAAAATTCTTTTATATTGTATATAAAGCTGCATTGTCGTAGAATAATGTAGGGTATATATTTTTTCGAAAATTCTGTCTACCCGTGCGAATCTGGGCCCGATCGTTAATCAATAATATTTCCATTGTGCTTACCTTCACTTGCAGATTTATACTCGCAAATTTAAATTGTTCTTGGAAATTACATCCTGATTAAATCTGTATTTAAAGCTTTAAAGGTTAAATAAATTTTATCTATCTAAAATATCTTTCCGAATCGTTAATTATGTTTCAAAGTACCTGTACACGTTGTACATTTGGTTTAAAATTCATGATTAACTAGCGACCCGCCCTGGCTTCGCACAAGTGCAATGCTGTACCCACAATTATCCCCCTAACATATACAATCGCGGACTTTTTGTAAACCTTCTTAAGATGTATAATATTGTAGTACATTATTTAGATCTATCTCGTAGGGTTTAGCCAGCGTTTGCAATATAAGCGCAAAAAAAAATGCGTTTATTTACGACATCACATTAGAAACCTTTAAAATTGTCAGTCTTTCTCTACTATATTATGCAGATATTATACATACAAACATTCCTCTTGAATCACTCTATCTATTAAAAAAAACGCATCAAAATCCGTTACGTAGTTTTAATGAACTAGACATATATAGGGACAGACAGCGGGAAGCGACTTTGTTTTATACTATGTAGTGATATTTCGGCTACATATAAATTTTAGAATGGTTAAAATTTTACAAACAAATATTTTATTTTGGACAACAGACTATAAATGGAACAATTCAATGAAACCATAGGAGTTAATTACACAGCTGAGCTAGTATATAAACCCAATTCTTATCTAAACATAAAGTCAATACTAGGTTAAACATGTCTGTACATCTCAATGTTTTATAAATAATTACATGTAAGTGTCTGGATATCCATCATCCAACCAAAAGGTAACACTTAAATTTTCTGATGAACTGAATGTTCTAAGATACTTGAATTTTACGACTTATTTATTGAGATGTTTTAGTTAACTATAATTATTTATTTTAAGTTGCGGAATTATTTAAGCTTTAAACCCTGTTTATTATTATAAAAACGTTTTCTTTTTAAATATTCCCAATGGACAATTCACTTTACTAGAGGCAGACTAAATAAATGTTGTGTGCTTGCATGTCTTTGTTTCACTCGTATTTTTGCCGTGAAGCAACTTTATTTGTACGATTGTGTATTCGAATTAATGAGTAGTGAGATGTGGCAAAGAAATTACAGAGTGACGACAGAGGTATAAGATATTAATTCTAGAAATAGCAACGCATGAGGTCACAGTGATGCATATGGTAATTCACGTCTATAGACGACGCTTACTACTTTCCATCAGATGGGCAGTCAGCTTTACATAATTCTTATTTACATAAAAAGGTATATTATTATGATACTAAAATAAAAATTGCTTTTAAAATTTACAGCTTCATATGCTTAGGTAGTAACTCGATTGACGGGAATGTATGATCCCATAGTCTATTATTGTACTTACTTCCGAGTATGACTTTTCAATAGCGGACCGCTTGATGGTGTATGTACGAAGGTCTTCCAGCAGGTCGCACTCATGCTGGTTTTTAGCGTGGAGCTTGGCAATCTGCTCAGTGTGCAGATTCTTTAGAAACTTCGTGTAGTTACTCTGAAACAATAAATAGTTAATTCATGATGAGATTGTATTAGATATTGTTGGACAACTAGATGAGACAACTAACAATCCATGCGGAACGCTGTGAAGCAGACATACAATCGTTTTACAAACACATCATTTCTCAGGACTGGGAACACATAAGAGCTGCATAGTCATCATGATATATATATATATATATATATATATATATATATATATATATATATATATATATATATATATATATATATATATATATATATATATATATATATATATATATATATATATATATATATATATATATATATGAGACTTAAATAGTGAGTAGCAGTCTATTTAGTACATTTCGATTTATAATATCAATACCGAAAAGAAAGCGCATACTCTTTTTAACTTAATTTTATAATTGTTTCAATGTAGTCGCGTTTGACATGTTTTTTTAATGTGTAACGTAGAAATAAAAGTTATATGGATTTCCTTTATATTTCACCCAAAAAGTCTGTACTCCACAGGCAAGCTAAAAATATTCACTAAGATACAATATACTGGTTTGCAGTAGCCACATTACATTAGAGACAAGACGTAAACTGACGTTAATGAAACATGTATTCCAGCATATTATAGACAAAGAAGATAATCAGTTCGTATGTGCGCCAGAATATTATTTAAGAGAGCGACATCGTAACTTCTTTGTCTTACCGAGATGTAGAACAGACATAACTAAATATTCTCCCCTCACATTTGTACAGTATCTTCTTGACAATATGCTCAATAATTATTTACAAAGAGATATATTCCATTGTACTACTGATATAAAGTTTTACAGGATAGCAACGTAGTTTATTTCTAGTGTTAATTAATTAATATAAAATGTATTGTACAATATGTGAAATAAATTGTCACGCAAATTGTTAAAAGCTGTAATGTCCGACAAGTCGTTTTATAAATAAATAAATAACTATCGCTACTTACGTATAGAAAGAACGTAACTACCACTTTTGTTGAAAGTGATTTAATGTTACAATTTTGTTCAAAATTTAACGTTATACCAATCTATATATTTATAATTTATAAATAAATTAATAACGAAATAAAATTCTTACCAACCCATTCTTTTATTATATTTGTTTATACAAAAAACAATTCAAATATCAAATTTATACACGCATCTGTATCATGTGGAGAGTGCTACAATCGTAAAAAAATTTTGGTCATAAACGCAAGTGTCAATCTGAATAATTGAGGTGGTTAGAACTTTTAAAATATACATTTCCGTCAAACTTAAATTCCACGATGTTAAATTGTATTCAATTAAATACAAAAATTTTCACAACACTTCAAACAAAAACTTTTTCGCCAAAATGTTTTTTGACTCACGTTTTTTATTTCTCCTGATAAAGTTTCTGTTTTGGTGTTTACGCTCTTTTTATCCCGAAGTAGCGAAATCGAGACCAAATATTCTTTCAAACTTTTTTTTGCTACTACGTATATAAATTTAGAAGCCCGTGAAAAATAACTTTATTAGACCAGGAAAACGCAAAATGTATTAATGCAAAACCCATTTCAATAATACGGTTTAATTTTTCACGTATAGGATAAATCGAAATTATATTTTCTTTATGACTAACTACATCAGGGGGAGAAGGGATTGGTAGTAATGGGAATTAGCAATTCCATTGTTAGCAATATACCCCATCAGGTCGACATCAACGCAGTTCTCCCTGGAAACTATTCTGATTATTGTTGAATTAATTACAATAGGCCGAATGACCTGCTTCATCCTCGCTGATCACCCCTTACTGGTGCCGCGCCAATATATACCGTTAGAGCAAGCGGGTTAACCATTCCATTATCTTTCATTAAAAAAAACTAGCTACATCGCTCGACTTAACCCATGTGAATTTTAATAATAATATCCTATAGCTTTACCTGTATTTGTTGACTCTATACAAAAAGGATTTTTTTTTAAACTTTCCATTATGAATTCAATTCTTGTACAAATTACAATAAATACATTCGAGATTAAGATTCGACTTTATTTTTGTTCGCTTGCGCCTTTGTCTGCGTGTAAAGTAGTAATAGTGCTTTAACTAAATAGTACTTAGGTATGCTTTAACTAATAAAGCACTAAAAGATAACAAAAAAACAAACTTACTTTCACACTTTTAAGTATTATCTATGTATATGTACACAAATTAAACGTGATCGAGTAATAAGCATCCGAACAATATTTCACATTTGTAATAGTAGAATTGAGCGCTGACAAATAAATTATACATATCTGTCTGTAAATACAGGAATGGGCAGCTGAATATTTAATACGTTGATGGACAGATAGGTGGATAAAGCGGATCTTTATTTCAGTGAAATGCCAAGGGTATTATATCTGTCTAATAATATTCTCTATTTATTGCACTTATAAATTATAATAGTTTTAAAGTAGGTGGAAGAGATTAATTATAATACGGACGGATAATACGGATACTATTACTGTTGCTAGCAATATACCCCGGTCCCCCATGGAAACCATCGTGCTAAATCCCAGATGTATTCATCATGATAAACTAACTGACCTAACTCTTCATTCTCACCTATCATCCCTCACTGGTTCTCCGGCAACGTATACTATTAGCGTAGACAGGGTTACCGTTATATTATATACATTAAAAAAAATATAGTTATAGATATCTATTATTAGTTTATTTAAGTATTTATTTATTACTAGCTTATATCGGCTGCGTGATCGGGATAAATTCATTATATCAAGATAGAAAGTAGTTTATGTCGTTATCCATACTATATAGTATGTGTATACCAAATATAGCAATTGCTTAAGCCGTTCAGGTGCTAAGAGGTAACAAACAAACTCATTCATATTTATAATAATAATTAGTAAGACAAGTATTTCTCAGCTTATTCAGTAATGCTTGTTAATACATATTATAAGTGTAATAATATATTACATCTTTCAATATGAATTTTCAAAATGATGTTTTTTTCGTATCTTTAGCTAGTATCTAACTAAAAATTTGTAGTAAAAAGTAAAGATAAACACAAATACATATCTATTGTTGGCTAGCTTTTAACCCGCTGCTTCGTATGCGTAGTTTTAGAAATAGATAAACTAACAAATAAACTACTTTTAGATATCGTGACAAAATACACAAACAAACGAAAACATAAACTAGATTTTAATATAGGTCTTCAGGAATATAATATTGAAAACCCCATATAAATTTGGCAGTAAGTTGTGTATGACAAACATACAAACAGACAACATTTTTAAATTTTTTCTTAAATATCTACCATATATGGATATCTTCTAGTTACAATTTTATTATAATAGCAAAATACAATTACTGAGGAAAGAGTTGAAGTGAAGAGTTGTTAAAACATATTTTAAAATCATTCTTCCCTGTAATATAATTCTAAAAATAATCGTAATACAAATATAAAAATAGAAATTATTTTGTTTTTAAAGTAGCCATATTTATGTATACCGCAAAGTACCTAATCTGATCTGTATCGAATAAATGTTAATATTGACCTAAGGAAAGTGAGGTCTCTGTAAAGAATACAAGGGTTCCGTGACCCCATTACAATATTCATACTGAGCGAAACGCGTCGCACTACCTTTAGCAGATTTTCAAAGTAACCTTTATGACATTTTTCCAATCGAGTGGACACATCGGCAGATGATTTCAAACAGGTGACTCTCACGAACTGTGCTTATGACGTCTTACATAAGTAAGAAATCATAAGCATACGTAGGACGTCACGTCGTAAACAGAGTTCGTGACCGTATATATTAATATAAAATATTACAATTGACAGTTCGCCATTGTCTATTTTTAACTGATTATTTAAAAAAATCTATGCTAGAGAAGTAAAACGTTAATCATAGAAAACATTCCATATAAATATACAACTAAAAATTTTGTATCTACCTACTTCACATAACATATTTTGCTTTGGAATTTTTTCCAATACATTTTTTGCATCAAAATATAATTTTTATATAAAAATATTATTGCATGATTAACTAAGTTAACAGAGAAATTTTTAAACGATTAATTAGAAACATTAAATATTGTTGAACGCTCTTAAATAAATAATTCAAAATGTAAAAGAAAATATTGTTCCACAAAAAAGCTACAGTAAATACAAAACACATGTAAACCAATAAACGGCGAGATTTTTTGTAAATAATAAAAAAATAATTAAATCGTGCAATTGAGTGATTGCCAGCTGTGTGTATTACTCGTACATGTAGATTTTGTTTCGCAACAAACATTTCTTAGTTGCACAAACAGGACAGATTCATCGTCACAAAATTAAAATGGTATCAATATCAGAGTAAAGACATATCGATTACAGAATTAATTGTAAAAATTGGTTTGTTTTGTAAAAAAATAATTTTAATATTTTTAAAATATAATTTTGTATTATTATTATTTAAATATATATTGTATTTAACATCTCTCTTTTTATGGGGGTAAAATGTTCAACCATGTGGGTCTTAGCCAAGCATGGTTGACTTTAAATATATATATATATATATATATATATATATATATATATATATATATATATATATATATGTGTGGAGACGATGACAATGATGAGGAATTATTATTGTAATGGATAGGCTCATGATTTTGTTACGGTTTCAGATATTGTTTTCCATATAAGAAACAGTTTTGTTGCTCAAATGGAAATGAATGTCCTATTTGCAGACACGAAATTCAATTATTTTTAACCAACTTCAAAAAAGCAGAAATTTCTCAGGTCGATTGCACTTATTTATGTTTATTACCTCATAACTACGTCATTTCTAAACCGATTTTAAGAATTCATATTTTCATCTAATATACATTCCCCGTCCCAGGCTCATAGACATTAGAATATCATGGTCGATTCAGTAGTCCAGTTTTTGAATAAAAATAATTTTATTATGATATTGGTAGACATTAGTCTTGCTGATTAATCGATATATTTTGCCAGGATTA